TTTGAGTAAAGATTTTACACTGGCTTTTATGAGTAAAGTTTTCATTATGCTAACACATTTAGTTGCCATGAATATTATATTTCTGTATCCACATTTTGTATTCATTCAAGTGAAAAAAACAGTCTTTTGTTTTCTTAGGTACTGCATAAGCCGACCACAATATAAGACTTCTTGTGGTATCTCCTCATTAATTTCGTGTTGGAATTTTTTATATAGCACAATGGGAGCTGGAAAGTAAGTATTTATTAATTTATTGGTATCCCTAAATTCCAAATTCAGAAGTTTTTTAGTAAAAAGCAATACACTTTTTCTGTAATTGAAGAGTTTTAAGAATAAGTTTTTCATACATCAAGAAAAAAATTGCTGCATTTTGTTATAAGCCTTTAGCTAAAAATAATAAGCATGTATTATTTGTGACAAAATAACTATTAAGAATATAGTTGACCCTTGAAAAACACAGGGGTTAGGGCAGTCTCAAATCCACATATAACTTTTGACTCCCCCAAAACTTAATGACTCATGGCCTACTGTTGACCACAAGCCTTACCAATAACATAAACAGTAGATGAATACATACCTTGTGTGTTGTATGTATTATATACTGTATTCTTACAATAAAGTAAGCTAGAGAAAAAACGTTAAGAGTGTCATAAGGAAGAGAATGCATTTAAAGTACTGCATTGTATTTATAAAAAAAAATTATCTGTGTATAAGTGGACCTGTGTGGTTTAAACCCATGTTGTTCAAGGGTCAACTGTATTACTAAAATTGTTTGCAAATCAGACGGACATATGAACATTGAGGCAGGTTATATTTGCATATGATTGGAATGGTAAAATGAAAGGTAATGTTTCTTTTGTAGTCTTCCACCTATTACCCAAGAAGAAGCTTTACGTATTTTGGGCTTTCAACCCCCATTTGAAGATATTAGGTTCGGTCCTTTCACTGGAAATACAACACTTATGAGGTATGAAGTCCTCGCTTACAGACAATACTTTATTTCTAGTTCTGCGAAATAACAGTGCTGTAGATGTGTGTTGATAGTAAAACCATGTTTCCAGCTGCTGGGCCCCAGCCTTTGGTAGATACACCAAACTTGGGTGCTGCCTGAATTTTGCTGGAATGGGAATAGTGCTGTCTGTGTTATGGAACTGTTGCTATGAGCAAACTTTCTTGTCATTTTCAGATGGTTTAGACAAATTAATGACCACTTCCACGTCAAAGGATGCTCATATGTTCTATATAAGCCTCACGGGAAGAACAAAACAGCTGGAGAAACTGGTGAGTAAGCATATAGAAGATTTTTACACCCACACGCCTTAGGATCTGTCTCAAAGATTGGCTGATTTGGTTCATGGGACATTATGCAAATCTTAAACACAGTCTATTATTTTTACATGTCTTTATCCAAGGGGGAAATCTTAATAGAAATCTGTAAGGTACTTCTCATAACATGGGTGAATATTTTTAGCTCTTCTCATCTTTGCATGTAGAACTTTTAGAATTTTAAAGTATGTCCTAAACACTACTTTAATGCATTGCTTGTATTGTTTGGGCCTATGGTGTGTGTGTGTGTGTGTGTGTGTGTGTGTGCTGGTAAAACTCTTTCAGGAAGCAACATGGAATTTGCAGTTCCTCTTCCTAAAAAGGAATGCCAGGATTTTAGAATATCTGATGGTAGGTCTGCATAGTAACATCTAACAACAGGACAATGGTCTTTGAAAGTGACAGAGTTCTATTACAGAATAGTCTTGGCTGTAACAGAGAGTAATGGAATTGATCTTCAGGACTGTTTTCGTTATATGCTTGTTATATTTGACAATTTCTATCTTTCACATTTCATCATAGCCTTTGACTTTACTGATTAGAAAATTATAATATAGTTAAGGAAAAAAATTATTTGACACTTGTTAAAATGGTAATGGAGGCCTTATTCAAGACTATTGTAGTGGATTATTATAATGGGAGCAGAGATGGGATTCAACCCTGAGTACAACAAAGACTACTGGGATTTATAGCCAATTAGCAAAGTGAGTGGATGGGAGGTTACTATAAGGGGGCATGAAGGGGGGGTTAGGGCGATCCTTGCTAACTGGTCTGAGAGGATTCTTTTTTTTTTTTTTTTTAAAGATTTTATTTATTTATTTGACAGAGAGAGACACAGCGAGAGAGGGAACACAAGCAGGGGGAGTGGGAGAGGGAGAAGCAGGCTTCCCGCCGAGCAGGGAGCCCGATGCGGGGCTCGATCCCAGGACCCTGGGATCACGACCTGAGCCGAAGGCAGACACTTAACGACTGAGCCACCCAGGCGCCCCTGGTCTGAGAGGATTCTTATGGTAGGCAGGCCAATGGCAGGCTACAGGCTTAGACATCAAGAGTGGGGCATGAGGAAACTGATCAGGTATTAAGGGTGACAGAGTCTCCTTAAACTGGCTTAGCAGGATTCTTGCTAAAACTGGACTAACCAAGGATGGACACAGAAGCCTGAGGTGGAGGCCTAGTAGAGAAGAGGGCTCTGAGGAACTTAACCAGTCTGGTTAAAGAGGGTACATGGTTTACCAAGGTGAAGGACTGAACAGAGAGTAGGATATAGCCTGTTGACCTGTAGCAGGAATATCAAGTTGGTTATGAGTCAGGCACACTTGGGAGTTGACAGGTGTTGGTTTCTATACATGCTGGTTCTGTGACCTTGAACAAGGCATTTAGGACCACTTACTGAGTCCAGTGTAGACCTTTGTCTTTCCGTATTTGTACCAATCCCATAGGGTCACTGTGAAGATAAAAAGAGACATATTTGTTATATGCCTCGCCCCTTGTCTGACACAGAGTAAGGACTCAGTAAATGTTAGCTTTTATTCTTACTCCCTGAATTCTGTGCATTTGCAGAGAGCCTATCCCTGTGGAAAAAAACAGCTTTAAATGAATGGTGTGTGTGTGTGTTTTTTTTTTTTTCTTTTTTGTTCCTGGTGAGACTCAACACACTTCCTCAGGAATTGGTCAGACAGTTAAAAACTAACAAAGGGGGCGCCTGGGTGGCTCAGTTGGTTAAGCGACTACCTTCGGCTCAGGTCATGATCCTGGAGTCCCGGGATCGAGTCCCGCATCGGGCTCCCTGCTTGGCAGGGAGTCTGCTTCTCCCTCTGACCCTCCTCCCTCTCATGTTCTCTCTATCTCATTCTCTCTCTCAAATAAATAAATAAAATCTTAAAAAAAAAAAAAAACTAACAAAGGATATACTTTCCAGGTTGTTAATTTTCTCTTCCACTGTGTTTAGTTTGCTTTTTTTTTTTTTTAAAGAAAATTGTCCACTGAATTTCAGTTTTAAAAAAAAATTCAGTCATGTTTTTCATTCCAAAAATACCTAGTTCTTTTTCAAATCTTAAAATTTTTTTTTAAACTTGAGGTATGGTTGGCACATAACATGACATTAGTTTCAGATACGTAACATAATAATGATTTGCTGTTGTTTACATTGCAAAATGACCACAATGGGTGTAGCTCACACCTGTCACCACATGTAGTTACAGATTTTTTTTCTTGTGATGAGGACTGTCAAGCTTTACTTACTTTACAACTTTCAACTATAAAATACAGCATTATTAGCCATAGTCTCCATGTTGTACATTATATCCCCATATCTGGCTTATTTTATAACTGGAAGTTTGTGCCTTTAACCACCTTCACACATTTCACCTTCCCTATTTTATTTTATTTTATTTTTTAATCTTTTTTTAAAAAGATTTAATTTATTTATTTGACAGAGAGAGAGAGACAGAGAGAGGGAACACAAGCAGGGGGAGTGGGGGAGGGAGAATCAGGCTGTCCGCTGAGCAGGAAGCCCGATGCGGGGCTCGATCCCAGGACCCTGGGATCGTGACATGGGCCATCCAGACGCTTAATGACTGAGCCACCCAGGCGCCCCTCCCCATTTTATTTTTTAAAGTCTCTTGTTTCTTATAATTTCAAGCCCCCTTTATTATTTTTTTTCAAATACAATAAACCTTTTTTTCCCTGTATTTGATCTAATATCTAAAATTTGTCTGATTCTACTTTCTCTTGTTTCTTTTGGATTTCACTTGAGATGTTGTGTTTCTTTTTGTGTTTCATTTTTTAAAACTGTAATCTGTTTATTTGGATCTACTTTTGTGGCAGGGTTTGGGGCTTGGTTTGAATTTAAGAATCTTGAGAGAAGATTTGCATTTAGTTTTGCCCATTTCCTGGAGAACTGGGACAATTTTTATTTAAACTCTCTAATTGAAGATTTTTTTTGATGATACAGATAGCATCATTCTGAACTGGTTTATGATTTTGAATTCTTGGAGGGAATCTTGGCTGCACCATCAATCCAAACTTTAGACCGGCACATTTCTCTGGTCTCTGTTCCATGTGGTCACTTTATTTCTGGTTCCCCTCTTTACTGCCTCTGTTGTTCTAGCTTTGCATGGGTTCTCTCCTCTTGTCCTCTTGCAAGGGAAGGCAAAACTTTACCTCTACCCATCTTAGATTTTCAGCTGGGACATGTAGCAAAAAGACAGATGAGCAAGTTTATTAACTCGTACGGCGCACTTCATGTGGGAGAAACCTCAGTGAAAAGTAACTCAGCCTGGTGGCTTAGAATGGCTTACTTAGCATCTGCAGCAAAGAACAATACATTTGTAGAGAAGTGACGGGACAAAAGGAGGCTATTTGGGGAGCCCAGGGCATCCCAGGGAAGGTTACTTATGTGGGAGGGAACTAATGGAGTAAGGTTTGTTTGCAGATTCCTCTGGTGCCATCTCTGGGCTAAGAGTCTGTCTCCGGTAAAAGGAGAATTTACATCCTGCCTTTAGGTAGGGAGGGGGAGGGTTGAGCGAGCTTTTCCTGCATTTGCGGCTTCTTAATTGCCTTCAGCTCAAAATAATTTTTATGTCAGAGAGGCATATTTTGGGTGACAGGCATATTTTGGTTTCCTTCCCGCTCCATTCTGCCCCCCCGCCCGCCCCCCAGCCTTATTTCCTGCAGACCTCCTGCAGCCATCAGAGTAGAACTTTACCTTTTATGGGGTTTAGCAGAAACCCTCAGGACAAAGGCCTTCATAGGACCTCTACTTTTATTTATTTTTTAGTCTCTGGAAATTCTTCAGTTATGTATTTTAACAGATCTTTTTAATATTTTATCCAGTATGTTTGTTATGTCATTGGCAGGGCTATTTAGGGTCTCTGTATCCCCAGGAAGAAAAACTGACGGATCAGTTAAAAAACTTTATGTTTATGTATTTGTGTTTATTTTCACATTTATGTTCTGTTGAATGGAACAATCCTAAACTCAGAATTCTTTAGACAACAATATACTGTGAATGCTGTGAATCTTTCTGTGATTAAACTTATGTATTATGATCAACGTCTATCTCTTTAAAACAGATTTATTTGTAGATATGCATATAGGAACTAAACCAAGCACAATTTAATTAGCAGTGGTACTGTTGCAGGATCGCAGGGTTCTTGTCTCACGGAGTCGAAGAATGAATCTTGTGACACAAAAGGGTGAAGTCAAGTGAAAGTTTATTAAGTGAAGGTGAGAGCAGAAAGGAAAGAAAAAAACTCTCCAGAGTGAGAGGGGTCCTGAATGGGTTGTCACCATGGGCTTTTACTGGCAGTCTTCTATTGAGAACTGACTGGAAAGCTTGTGGCCTTGAGATTCTTCTGCAACCTTGGTTTGTTCCCTTATCTCTTGTTCTTCTCTGTCTCAGCGTCTCCTGCCAGGAATAGTTCCGGAGCCTAGTCAGGGGCCTCCTGTCTCTCCTGCCTAGACCTTCACGCCTTCCCTATTCGTGGGACGGGACCTGTGGGCAGAGAGAGCTATATTGGGATTGTGAGGAGTGACTGATTGTATACTTTTTAATTAATGGGGGTTAGGGATAGCGCCAATCTCCAAGGAATCTAGAAGCAAGGCTTTCAGGACCGTGAGGGACAGATGCTGCCAAGATAAGGTTCCTTTTAAACTTGAAGGCACTAAGGCGGCCACGGGTTCCTTGAGGAAGGTCACGCTCTGCATGTTTCAGGTGTCTATCAATGGGCTGCAAGCTGTAAGGAGATTTTAGTTTAAGCTACATTTCTTTTGCCTTTGTTTTCCATATCAGTACCAGTTATGGATATATATAGAGTTTTCCGTAAACTGTATCATTCAGATTAGTGGCTTGACTTTCATTTGGTATATTAATTATTCCTGCTTTAATACTGAATGTTTTATACAGTTTTGGGGTTTTAAGGTCTTTGGTCTGTTTTTTTTTTGTTGTTTGTTTGTTTTTTTTTAATCAGCATTGAAAGTAAAGAGCATCTTTGGTAACCCTGGTGATTCCTTAATGTACTTTTTACTAATATTTAATAATTTCTGCCTGTTAGCCCCATGACACATTTCCTAAGAATGTATATATGTTTTGTTCTAGGAAAGAGACATCTTATACTTTATTTCTTCAAATTAAAGGAAAATAATATTAATTATGTTGGTTCTAGATTTTTATCCTAGCCAGGTCTGTATTTTAGTTTATGGTGATGCTAGCTTATGACATTAGTCTGTAAAACAAGATACTCATCATTACCATGATCATATTATATATCATATTGACCACTGTCATCTTGTTCATATGATATTAACTTTTGAGGGTAATTTCATTTTTTTTTAAAGATTATTTATTTCTTTATTTATTTGAGAGAGAGAGAGAAAGAGAGAGTGCGTGAGCTTGTGAGTGGGGGGAGTAGCAGGGGAAGAGGGTCTAGCAGACTCCTTGCTGAGCATGGAGCCAGCTGCTGAGCTTGATTTCGAGGACCCTGAGATTGTGACCTGAGCTGAAATAGAGTTGGAGGCTTAACTGACTGAGCCACCCAGGTGCCCCAGGTAATTTCATTTAAATGTAAGGGCATTTTCATACATTTTACTATACATTCCTACTTCTCAGTTTTAAAAAATTAATTTTATAGTAGTAAAACCATCTTTTAGCAGGTGTATAGTGTGCTAGGCACTGTGCAGACTTCCTTGCTTTAATTTTGTAGCAATCCTGTACAGATGTATCATTCCCCCTTCCCTGATGGGGAAACAGACATGGAAAGTTCAGTAAGCTGAACAGGGTTGCACCTCTAGTGAGTGGTAGATTCAGGCCTCAGACCTAGTCTGCCTGATTTCAGATTTCAAACCTAACCACTTGTTGTTCTGTGGGTCCCAGTGTTGTGTTCTTTTAATGCTCCTAGTACATTTTAGAGCTATTATATGGTTAATATTTTTTATAATTAATGTACATCATTTTCAGCAACAAAATTATATACTGATAGAAACATTACTAAACATTTTTTTCCCCCAAATGCTCCATGTCTCCTTAGCACAAGGGTTTTGTTTGATTTCAGATTTTTTTTTAAGATTTTATTTATTTATTTATTAGAGAGAGAGACAGAGATAGCAACAGAGATAATGAGAGAGGGCGAGAAGCAGGGAGCCTGACGGGGCTCGATCCCAGGACCCCAAGATCATGACCTGAGCTGAAGGCAGATGCTCAACTGAGTGAGCCACCCAGGTGTCTCACATATTTTTCTTACTAAAAAAGTATCTGGGGCGCCTGGGTGGCTCAGTCAGTTAAGCGACTGCCTTCAGCTCAGGTCATGATCCTGGAGTCCCGGGATCGAGTCCCGCATCGGGCTCCCCGCTCAGCAGGGGGTCTGCTTTGCCCTCTGACCCTATCCCCTCTCATGTGTTCTCTCTCATTCTCTCTCTCTCAAATAAATAAATAAAATCTTAAAAAAAAAAAAAAAGTATCTGCCAGGATGACTGTTATTGGTATCAGTGTTACTGGAATGTCATTATTTAGTCAATGGATTTGGGACATTTTTATGAAAGAAAATGGATAATTTTAGAAGACCTTTATTTTATTTTTATTTATTTTTTAAAGATTTTATTTATTTATTTGAGAGACAGAGGAATAGCATGAGCAGGGGGAGGGGCAGAAGGAGATGGAGAGGGACCAGCAGACTCCCTACTGAGTGGGGAGCCCAATGCGCGGCTTGATTGCAGGACCCTGAGATCATGATCGGAGCTGAAGGCAGGTGCCTAACTGACTGAGCCACCCAGGCGCCCCAGACCTTGATTTTATCATAACATTTTCACAAGATAAGTAGAATGTTTTTCTGGCCGCAAAGATTTAACGGTTCTCCAGTTGTTACAAAGTATAATAATGATTCTCTTCATTAAAGGTCTTATAAAATTTACACTGAAGATGGAAGTTTGCTGGAAGCAAGTGGATGAGCAAGGGTGTCTTGGCACAGTAATTAGTGATGTGAGCCCCCCACCCCGTGGGACTCACCCCCCGCCCCGCCCCGTGGGACTCCCACCCTTCTCTGACGACTGTGCGTGTGTGACATGTGACCTTTTGTGACATGCATGCTCAATCCATAGAATAAATATTAGTAAAACTTAATTGGTTTTTTAGTGTGACAATAAAGAAAAGTAAATATTCTAATATTTTGTGTCTGTGCCCCAAGGGGTCTTGTGTAACCACTTGGATGTGTCCATGCTGAGAATCATTAACCTACAGCAGCGATTGGCAGACCTTTTCTATAAATAATGCAATAATCGATGGAGAGAATGTCACACGTATGTGTCCGAGACGTGGAAAAGTACTGTGATACAGTTCTCGGGCTGCTGTCCCAAGACTGCGTTGTGAGTGGGGCCCTGGAGACACGAGCCTAAGACTCATGAGTCCGTTACTTGCTTGTCCTATTGCTTACCAGTCTGAAGAGGATTTCATCAGAGAAGTTCATGGATTTTTGTTGTATTACTATCAGCAGCATCTGGATAGAGGGGCAGGACCTATGCAGAGAAGGGTCACTAAAATCAAAGGAAATCAGGGGAATCACCAAGACCCTGAAATTATAATATGAAAGGAAATATGGTATCAGAAAGAATATGGTATCAAAGAAAATCTGGCATAGCAGAAGCATCAGTTATGTAAATTTAAACGAATTCCCAAAGTAAGAGAATGTAGTTACTTATTAATGGAATGTGGGAAAATACTAATAGGGCCCTGGAGACAGTTGATTTAGGAACTGCTGTTCTGGAATTTTAAATTCGTTTTGTCCAAATGTCCCGTCCAACTTTAAGATTTTATTCCCTACTTTTATTAGAAACTCTCTCATTTGCAGATCTTTTCAGGGTTTGTATTTTTTTTATTTCCTAATAGCCTAGTAGTCCTTCATGACTTTTTTTAAGGTTTTATGTATTTATTTGACAGAGGGAGACACAGCGAGAAAGGGAACACAAGCAGGGGGAGTGGGGGAGGGAGAAGATCCCAGGAGATCCTAGGAGAAGATCCCAGGACCCTGGGATCATGACCTGAGCTGAAGGCAGACACTTAACGACAGAGCCACCTGGGCGCCCCACCTTCATAACTTTTTTAACTTAATGATTTGATGTGTAGATTCACCAGTGTCCCTAATAATCTAGGCTCTGTGGCCCTAGGCCCTATGGACTTTTTTATCCATATGTTCACATTTCCTCCAATATCCGCCAGGTCTTTTTCACTGAGGAATGGAATAAACTACTCATTCACCTGTTCCCCTGCCCCAACCCCCTTTCCTTGGCAGGGGGGCGGGGTTGCTGCCATTTCTTCAAATGAATTTTAATAATATATTTTCCCAGTTTTCTTTCTGTTTTCATTTTCCCTGTTACAATACTTGACTCCTGACTTTGTCTTTTTCTGTGCGTATTTCCTGAAGGATGATTGCTTCCCACGTTGGCATTTTCTTGTCTTCCTCCTCAGTAATCAGTTGTCCTGTGTAAACCCTGCTCTATCACTGAAGCTCCCCCTACCGCTTCCCGTGCCACTTCCTCTTCATACAAGACTGATCATTTGCATCTGTTGTTTGGCATTTGGCCTCTGCAGCCTTATGTTTCATCTTTTCAGTGTGTGCACCCAGCTCCTTGACCATAGGGACATCTTTAAATAGCCCTGAGCCCGTATATGGCGACCCATGACCTTGCAGGGGCTGCCCTTGAACTTCTGACCGTGTTCAGAGGGAGGAGTGGTACAGTGTCAAGCAAAAGACCTTCCTGTTCTCCTTCTGTGGAAGAAAGAGTTGAGAAATAGGCTTTTCTCATTTGTTTCTGGGATGTTCGGTAGTGAAAACCTGTCCCTTGTTGCTATTCACTTGAAAAACACTTTGAGATGCATATTCTTTTTGTTTCAATTATTTTTAAAGAATTATTAGGCCTGTTTTCCTGGGTACTAGGCTTCTTCGACTTTGTAACTCCCCAGTGCTTGCTGACATGCTCATTTCCAGGGGGCCCTCAGTGAATGGAAACCGAGCTCACTCAGGAATAAAAGCAAAATGCAGGGGTTTTGGTGAAATTAACAGATTAACTGTTAATATGAGTAGAAGTATTTTATTCAGAGTTGTAATTATTCATAATAAAAGTTTGTGTGGTAAGTGGTCAACAACTAGTTCAAACTATTGGTTCACTTAATAAAATATAATATAACATAACATAATATAATTATTGCTATTATTATTATTCAGGTAACTTAAAACTGTTGGTTCAGGGGCACCTGGGTGGCTCAGTCGTTAAGCGTCTGCCTTCAGCTCAGGTCATGATCCCAGGGTCCTGGGATCGAGCCCCACGTCAGGCTCCCTGCTCGGCAGGGTGTCTGCTTCTCCCTCTCCCACTCCCCCTGAGGTGTTCCCTCTCTCTCTGTGTCTCTCTCTGTCAAATAGATAAATAAAATCTTAAAAAAGAAAAACACAAAAAACTGTTGGTTCACTTAGCCACCAACATTTGTGCCAGGAAAGTCTAATTTTTTTTATTTTTTAAAAGATTTTATTTATTTCTCTGAGAGAGTTCACCAGTGGGGGCGGGGGAGGGGCAAAGGGAGAGGGACAAGCAGACTCTCCAGGGAACCAGACATGGGGCTCAATCCCAGGACCCTGGGATCCTGACCTAAGCCAAAGGCAGATGCTTAACTGACTGAGTGATTCTGGAGCCCCTAGATTAATTTTTTTTTAATCAGCTAGCTTAACAATTACACTAATGTTCATGTATTTCATTTTTATTCTGGTATGTATTATAACTTCTTAGTTTTGCTTAACCGAGAACAGCTACCTCTACCCTTTCCCGATGTGACTCATATATACTCTCACTGTGGCCACTGTTAGGAGCTTACCACTGTGCCTTAGCACGTCTCAGGTGGACTAGGCATTAATGTTCTGTTTTCCTCATCCGCTGCTTTCTCCCAATTCTTATTAGACACCACGGCACTTTTCAGCGGGAGGTGTTAATAGACCCATCTACTTTAGGAGCGCTCCAGTGCTTGTTTAAAGCATAAAATCCTTAGCATCGTTCAAAGCCAATGCAGACTGGCCTTCCACTGCTGTCCTCCATGGACCAGCTGCATTTAAAAGATGTCAAGGGAGGAAGAACCTTGCAGGATAATGTTATGTTTCTGGATTAAAGAATCTGGTTCTTGTCTTTGAAGGTATAAAATAATTGTGATGAATTCTTCCAGAATTCTCTATAGTTTTCCTATAGATGATCAGGCTCTATAGAACAAACTTGCACTAAACAGACTCAGAGAATACCAGAAAGTTTATATATTAACTTAGAGTGAGAAATATATAACCAAAGGGACCAGAATTCTCTCGTTGGCTGCTCGGGAAGTATGTTCTTCCTCACTGTATAGCAGTCCAGCTGGTTCTAGTAGTTCTTTTCTCCTTCTTGTGTGCCATACAGATCAGGCCCTGGAGTTGGAAGTGGTTGCTTTGTCATGTAGGTTTTGGATTTTTTAGAAATACTCTGGTTTAGGCTGAACATCATGCTGAATTTCATTTCTATCAGTAACACATTTTTGTGTCTTCTCCTGCCTAGAAGTATTTCCTTGGATGACCACCTTAATGTATTAAATATTGTATTTACTGTCTTTTATTTCAGAGGGTGATCTTTTTCTGACCTTGTCCTGAAATTCTGGGGGTGCCCTATGGTAGGATTAGCTATGCTGTCATACCTTGTATTCTAAACTAGATTACCTGCTGTTCCCTGATTACATCCCTCCCCTGCAATGATTTTGTTTTCTCCTCCTGGCCTTTCCTCTGTCTGGATTGTTGAAATCCTACCACTTCATTAAGTTCTGTCTTGAATGGCACCCTTCTTGATTCTTTAAACCTGATGTGCTCTTCCTCCTTTGAATTATATCCCTTTTCTGTGGCACTGTCTTATTCCACTCTATAGTAAATAATAATGTAATAATACTTGTTTTATCTTCCCTAGGAGGGCAGGTCGAGGTACTATGCATTACTTGCCTCTTGTTTTCCTACAGTTCCTGGTATATATAGTTAGTAGGTGCTCACAAATTGTTTACTGTATTGAGTTAAATGGAATTTTCCATTAACTCTAGACCAAGTCCCAGAATGTGATCCTTGGACCAATAGCAGCATCACCTGCTAACTTGTTAGACATGCAAGTTCTTGTTAGACATGCAAGTTCTTGGTCCCCACTCCAGACCTACTGGGTCACACACTCTGGGGGTGGGTACCAGCAATCAGTTGTTTAACAAGCCCTGTGTGTCGAGCTTGAGAACTATTGCTGTAGTCTTTCTATCAAGAGCTGGGTCTTCCATTGATAGGAAATTCAGTGATTTTCAAATTGCGCTCAGTTGAGCCATGGGAATTCTATGGCAGTACTTTGGTGCTGAGAGGGGAGAGGACTGGGCATCCAGATTCCCTACCTCCTTTTTGGCCATGGCAACTCTGCTTTTAGCCTTTAAATGCACTAGCCTGCCATGTCAACTTTCCTTACAGAAGGGTTCCATGGGGGCGCCTGGGGGGCTCAGTCATTAAGCGTCTGCCTTCGGCTCAGGTCATAATCCCAGGGTCCTGGGATCGAGCCCCACATTGGGGAGCCTGCTTCTCCCTCTCCCACTCCCCCTGCTTGTGTTCCTTCTCTCACTGTGTCTCTCTGTGTCAAATAAATGAATAAAATCTTTTTTTTTTTAAAAGAAGGGTTCCATGTCCAAAAAAGTTTGAAAATTATTATTAAATTAGAGGTCATCAAATTACAGTCCTTTTTGTAAACAAAGTTTGATTGGAACACAGTCATAACCATTTGCTTACACATTGCCTATGGTTGCTTCATGCTACAAAGGCAGAGGTGACGAGTGTGAGGAGTGCTCATGACCCACAAACCTCAAATATTTACTCTCTGGCCCTTGAAGAAAAGGTTTGCTAATCCCTAATCTGAATCAACCAGAACCTTGAAGTAAGGAGCAGGAACATCCCTGACTAGCACTAAGCCCACAATTGTTACTCTATAGAAAACCCCCCCCCACCTCATGTCTTCTAGAAAAAAGGACATGGTCAAATAGTGTTTGCAGCAGACGAAAAAATGTGAAGGATAATGAGGATAATGAGAGCAAATTTTCTTACCTATCACATTTGCTCCTGAAATCTTGAGTATAGTCCAGGACATTAGAGTCATCATTCTTCACAGTCACACTAACGAAGTCAGGTGTTTTGCATTACATTTGACTTTAAAGAAGGAAAACATGAAATACTTAAAGATATCCATTAAAAAGCTATAATAAAAATCCCTTTTATTATAAGTTTTAGTTATTTTTAAAGTTTTAGTTATTTGGGAAAACTTTCTATTTGACATTTTCACAATTTCAAAAAAGATTTTAAGAGTTTTTTCTAAACCAGTTATGTGTATAACCATCTTTTGTAATTATTGAATTTGTTAGGAGTCCAAATGCATACATTTACATTTGCTCATGATCCTGGAACCTATCTATAATGACGTTCAACTATGGTAATGACATAAGACCCTCGTCTGAATTTTAGTTCTGTTGAGCATTCATTAGAACTGCCCTTGATGTTTGTTTTTTTTTTTTAAGATTTTCTTTATTTATTCATGAGAGACAGAAAGAGGGAGAGAGGGGTAGAGGCAGACGGAGAAGCAGGCTCCCCGCAGAGCAGGAAGCCTGATGCGGGACTTGATCCCAGGACCCCGGAATCACAACCCAAACTGAAGGCAGACACCCAATCAACTGAGCCACCCAGGTACCCTGGATGTTAGTTTTTAAATTGCCAAGGGAAGTCAACCAAAAGCTGCAGAAAGATTTATCACTTGTCATTTTGAAATAGAAATTTTAGTGGAAAAGTTCACCGTGCCATGCAGATATGCCCTGGTGGTAGGCCATGAAGTAGAAATCTATGGGAAAGACCTAGATGAAGCCTTGGAGAACGGATTGAAGCTAGAAATGTTATTGTCCCCGTGCAGCTCACAAATTGTGTCTACAGGGGTGCAGTGGCGTCCTGCTGCATTAGCTTTGACCTGCTCTTCTTAGAGGTCTTCAGCTATGTCAGTGGCCAGAAAGTCAATCAGGGAAACCATAAATTGCCACCTTTCATCGACTTCACCTATTTTTAGGATTTCCAGTTTTAACGGGCTATTTGTTCATTAATAATTTAGTTTCTTCCAGGAGATGCAAGTTAACGAAACCTCAGTTAATGGCTTTAAGTATTGAGCGCTGGTAAAAACTTATTGCTTATGGTAAGACTTTTGAAATGACTTCACAACTAATAGAGCTGTAGGAAATATAAAAGGAAGAATGGTTATAAGAGGATTCTGTGGTATGACCAGCCTGAGAGATGTTCTTATCACTGGCTTATGAAAGCTGTCCCTCTAGTCTGGGTAGCTTTTGTAGAAAGACTAAAGTGTGTGTTGTGGGGAAAAGTTTGCATTTTGGAGGTTTGTGTCTTATCTGGAGTTTACATTTACCCATCAGCATCAGTGTACCTATCACCGGAGCTGTGCAAGATGACCGCTGTGGAATGGGAAGAACATACTAGAATGCCAGTATTTTAATTTAATTAAAAAATTCTTACCTTTTGTGTATCTTTTACAAAGTCATATTAGTACAGTAGTCTATATAGTCTGTAAACAAAAATGCTTCTAATGGGCATGTCTAATGAGAAATTTCCGGTGACAGATGTGCACAACTAGGAAAGTTGAAACCATTGTTGTTTACACGAGGTATTGGGTTTTATGTGGTAATTAAATTTTGTAGATGAGGATGTGCTATTAGAAGGTGTTTTTTTTTTTTTAAGATTTTATTTATTTATTTGACAGAGAGAGAAACAGTGAGAGAAGGAGTGGGAGAGGGAGAAGCAGGCTTCCCGCAGAGCGGGGAGCCCGATGCGGGGCTCCATCCCAGGACCCTGGGATCATGACCTGAGCTGAAGGCAGACGCTTAACGACTGAGCCACCCAGGTGCCCCTAGAAGGTTTTGATAAGCAAGGGCACCGTTCAGGTCTTTAGTTTGCGGTTCAGTTTATCTGAATTTCAGTCAAAAGGGTAAAACTGAAAGTAAATGTATTAATAGTTTTGTATCTGTCAGTAGTTTCTCACTTTTCCTCAGCAGTGTCGGTGCGTTCCAAGTAATGTCTTTTGGTCCTTAACTAGTTGTTTGTGTAAAGCATCTACAGTGCTTTATGGTCCCTCAGTTTGTTTGCTTTTCTTTTATGTAGCTTCAGGGGCCTTGTCAAAGTTAACTCATGGATTGAAAGATGAATCGCTGGCTTATATCTATCATTGCCAAAATCATTATTTTTGTCCAATTGGCTTTGAAGCAACCCCTGTTAAAGCTAATAAAGCATTCAGGTAAGCATTTACATATTTTATGTGGATAATTCACCAAGAAAATGTGTGTTATTTTTTTTCAAGTTAGACTATTCTTTAATATTTTAGCTAATTCTTTTGCAGAATTGCATTTGGTTAGTTGTGCTTTTACATTATCCACTTAGATACTGTTGTTCAGACTCATGAAGGGAAACACGTTTGAAAAATCACTCTTACGTTTATTATAAAATGGTTGCATAGGACGTCCCATCTTATGTCATGGTGTTTTCATCCACTGTCCCACATGGAAAAATGAATTATGGAGTCTAATATCAAAAAATTGTCCCAACTGAGTACATTAAACAGCATCTTCTTTTCTCATGGTGAAAAATGTGGAATTTATCAGTGTTCCCCCTTTGTCCCGGGTGAGTGGCCTTGGTACTTGAGGAGAAGGAAGGGGTAGCAATTGCTCTTTCAGTAAAACCTGAGGGTCAGGCAGGGAGAGCATGGCTCAGGCATCTGGGGGTGGGATGGGTTCTTTGAGGCTGGAGGCCATACAGCGTGAGTCCCTCTCAAGGTGCTGTGGGGTAGCGGGGTCCTGGGACAGGATCCTGAGACCTGGGAGAACCAGGAAGCTGGACATTGTATTTTTGTGAATGAGGAGCAAGGGGGAAACTACTTGATCTCTCCAAATCCTGAAATGTTTTATTCTTTGCTCTGGAGGTGAGGTATGTTGTTTCTTCTGTGGTTTCATTCTGCAACTTCACCTTACTCCAGACATCTATCCAATATAAAACGTGACACAGTAGGTCCTCCTACTTTGTACCCATTAGGGGAGAGTTCTCTACCCCCGCCTGTACCTAACAATAGCCTGAGATTCCTTTACAGCTGGGCTAATCCCTCCCCTCGCTCTACTCAAGATTTACTTGAATTAGTTTCCAGAGGTGGGATTAGGGCATCGGTATACTTTAGGGTTTTATTTTTAGGATGTGTTTTGAAACTTTTTAAATGCACAGTGAAAGGAGAGGATTAGCTGGAGAATGCTGGTAGCATGCTAGGATGTTTTTCTTCTTTTTAGATGCTGAGAGAGGTGGTATATTTCATTTTTTTTTTAGTCCTATATTCTATAATAGGGCTTAAGAACTAAGTGTGATTTATGCTTTCTCTTTAATGGCCTTAAGAAATTTGTTCAAGCCTATACTCCAGTATCTATTCTAGCATTAATGAATGTCATATTTGAATAAACTTTAGTATATCTTTTATTAACATAGTTGAGGCAGTATTTTCAAAGGAGTGAATGGCCTTTATTAAGCTTACTATGAATGTATTTTATATTTAGCAGGGGCCCCCTCTCACCACAAGAAGTAGAATATTGGATCTTAATTGGAGAATCAAGTAGAAAACATCCTGCTATTCACTGTAAAAAGTATGTTAATTTCCCCTTTTCTCTTTAATTAGGTAAGATTTACACATAGTGAAATGCACAGATCTTGATTGTATAATTAGGTGGATTTTGGAAACTGAATACACCTGTGTAATCACCACCCCAATCAAGATATGGAAGATTTTCATTGCATTGAAAGTACCCTCATTCTCTTTTCCTGTCAGTCCCCAGAGACAGTCTCTGTTCTATCACTATGGAATTGCTTTGCATGTCCTTGAAAGTCATGTCAGTGAAGTCGTACAATATTCTTTCTTGTCTGGCCTTGTGAGATTCATCCACTTTGTCATGCATGTCATGCTTCTTTTTTTATTGCCGAGTGGTATTAGGTACTGTAAGTATACTACAATTTGTTATCTGTTTTCCTGTTGATGACCATTTGGATTGTTTTGAGTGTGGTCTATTGTGGGTAAAGCTGTTGGGAACATTAATGTACATGTCTTTAAAAAAATTTTGAGTAACGGCTTCATTGAAATAAAATTCACATATCATAAAGTACACCCTTTAAAAATGTAAAAAATGCTCAGTGGATTTTAGTGTATTTAGAGTTGAACATCAGTCCCCATGACCTAATTCCAGGACATTTTCATCACCCCCAAAAGAAACCTCATACCAATTAGCAGTCACTCCCAAGCCCCGTCCCCCCAGCCCCTGATCTACTTTCTTTGTCTGTGCATTTGCCTAATATGGACATTTCATATAAATGGAATCATAAAACTTGTGGCGTTTTGTGTCTGTTTTCTTTTTTCACTTAGAATAATGTTTTCAACGTTCACGTGTGTTGTAGCATGGACCAAATTACATTCCTTTATATGGCCAAATAATTTTCTGCCGTATGGATATGCCACATTTTCTTGTGCAAGTTTTTTGAGGACATGTTTATATGTTTTGTTTCTCTTGGGTAAATACCTAGGAGTGGAATTGCTGATCATAGGATGGATGTGTATTTAAGAAACTGGGAGAACGTTCTCCTGTGGGTTTGTACCATTTTTTTACACTCCCACCAGCATTGTATGGAGAGTCCAGTTGTTCTTCATATCTTCACCAATATTTGATATTGTTATTCCTTTTTTTACTTAAATTTTTTTTATTTTCCCAGCTTTATTGAGGTATAATGCACATATACAACTGTATATATTTAAAGCGTACCATGTACTGATTTGACATATATTTTGTGAAATGATTACCACAATCAAGTGTTAATAAACATATCCATCAGCTCACATAGATACCTTTTGTGTGTGTGTGGTGAGAACACTTAAGATCTACTCTTTCAGCAAATTTCAAGTATACAATACAATGTTATTAACTATAGTCACCATGCTGTACAGATCCCGAAGTGTTTTAATGGTATTGTAAATTGGTTTTTAAAAAAATTTGTTTTAAAAAATTTGTCTATTTTCTAGTTTTATTGAGAAATAACTGGCACATATCATTATATAAGTTTACGGTGTACAGCATGATGGT